TGTCAAACTCGTAGATCATTCAGCCACTGAAATCCGACTCAACACTCCTTGAACTCTAGCATCTACTGATTCGTGATTTTAGCGTGACCAACAGTTAATGTCTTCGGCTATGGAAGCGAGTACTTTTCCTCACTCCCAACCGGATAGACCACTGTTCACGACTTCTCACTGGAACTCCAGTCGATATTATCTTGCCTCTAGTCAGATTAATTTGCATGAGTTTATTTGTGGGGATTAGATCTGTTTCGAGTTTGGCCATGTATTGACATGAGTTTCTCTTGGGCTTGAAACCCGGTGGGTCTGTTCTTATGGTGACTCCTGAACTAGGAAAAGATGACTGCCCAGTACTCCCTGGTTTTCAATAGTTCACATCCTCACATCAGCCAATTATCAAGCGTATATCAAAGATTTTGCTACTCTTAAAGAAAACAAAACAAGCTGTAACATAAAGTAAATTTATTTTTGATTTGTCCATGAATCATATAATTGTATCTCCAGAGAATCTTTGTGATGATTGTATGTTAATTCGCACCAAAATTGATCATTTGCAATTAATGGTGTTCTCTGAGCTGATTGGTTTAGTTGCGGAGCTTTCGTTGTCCTTCTGGACAACACCTTCAGCGCAGTATTTAGCATAAACTGAAATGATTTAAATTTCTTCATGAGTGATATAATTGCGTCTCCCGATAACCATCTTTACATATGTATTGACCATTTTCTATTGACTTGAATTTTAAACTTTCTGGTCACCTGATTTACTTTTTATTAGTTGGTATATTTGATTTATATTAACGTATTTGTTAATTGCATTTTCGTTTGAGTACCAGGCTTCTAGGAATTCCCTGACTGCACTTTTGGTGTTTCCTCTGTCTAAGATTTTGACATTATCTCAATCAAATTGATGTCCATAATTGTCTATATGCATTGATACTAAAGAACGCAAATCAGCCGTGAAAAGATACGATATATATTCTTTAGTATCAATGCATATAGACAATTATGGACATCAATTTGATTGAGATAATGTCAAAATCTTAGACAGAGGAAACACCAAAAGTGCAGTCAGGGAATTCCTAGAAGCCTGGTACTCAAACGAAAATGCAATTAACAAATACGTTAATATAAATCAAATATACCAACTAATAAAAGTAAATCAGGTGACCAGAAAGTTTAAAATTCAAGTCAATAGAAAATGGTCAATACATATGTAAAGATGGTTATCGGGAGACGCAATTATATCACTCATGAAGAAATTTAAATCATTTCAGTTTATGCTAAATACTGCGCTGAAGGTGTTGTCCAGAAGGACAACGAAAGCTCCGCAACTAAACCAATCAGCTCAGAGAACACCATTAATTGCAAATCATCCTCCTGAGCTACAAATCTTCTCTATTATTTCAATATAGATCATTGCCATCAAATTAGACTTATTTTATCATTTGGCTTATTCTTTATTAGTTTTGTTACGGTGGATTTTTATTTTATTTAGAATATGTCCAGCCTAACTAGAATGTGCCTACAGACTCGTCATAATAACCAAGTGATCACCTGAATACATATATATTTATGGCAATATCATATATACAAGACCTCATGAATATAAGCCGTAAATAAACGATTCAAAGACTGTCCAGTCAGATTATTATCTCATTGTATTTTGCCTAAATCACGAACTCGCAGCTAACAAAGTAGTCTGTGCATCCTAAGAAGTTGACCAGCTTAATGTAAAGTAATTTGTTCATTAATCGCTCATTCTTCTGAGTTCCCCATCACTTCTGATGTTTCCACTGCTTAAATTTTCCATATCTCCCCCGTCAAAATGATAGTCATAGTTTTCTGCATGCATCATTATGACACAATCCGTGTCATTTCTTTATTTTCTTGGATTCGAAGTCAAAATGGACGCTTACTTTGACCGATATAGTATTTGACATAGTTTATGTCATTTATTCTACAGATTCGTTGATATTGTCTTTGTTTTGCTGTCAGTCTGCATAGTATTAAGCGAAATGACTGTGTAGTCGAAAGCACGAGGCTAGCTATCTAAGCTACATAACATAGTAGTAAGTACGCGCGTATATATTCAAAACTCTGACTTAAAGAAGAGTATATTCAATTGGTCTCTAACAATTAGCATCAAATCTGCATATAGGTCTTTTAGCAATACTTAGGCATCATTGTTTATTTGTATCAGCTTATATATTCAGTAAAATTGTGAATTTATTTTTCGAAAATTAATTTTTTCTACCACAAATTTCAATCAAATATCCTAAATTTGGTGTACGCTGCAAAACAATGAAAACAAAATATTTCTCATCTAAATTCCTAATGATATACATTTTCCATAAACAATTAGTCCTTCATCGTTTTTATTTAAACACTTTTTTCTTAAGAAATTATTCATTAATTCATTTAAGTCCGTTTAAATATTATAAATCTGTTTGTCTTTTGTTGTTTTTGTTTTACTTTTTCTTTATTTTCTTTCCAATGGTCGGTTGTTATTCATCTAGCCTGCTGGTATGATCTAGCATTTAAGTTGAGTTATGACGACGTTATCACAAAAATGATTTGGATTCATTGTCACATCTGACGTTTATTGATAAAGTTTCGATAACGTAAAATATCTTTCGCTAAGGTTAATTGTAATTCTTATTGACTGATTATGGTACGCTGAAATGATCAGTGTTTTTTTAACATTTCGACTCTTAGTGAGAAAGCTTCGACAGTATCTGCATATTAATATGATAACATTTATTCGAAAAAGACTAGCAGTGGAATACAGGATGCAAATTTTATGTGTCAGATGAGATCGAGTATTTCGATTCAGTATATTCAACCTATGAGAAGTACAAACCAGCTTAAAAAATAACAATAGATCATCATTTCACAAGAAGTGTCTGTCTCTACGAAATGGTTCGCTGGATAACGCTTTAGGGTTTGAGTTTCAGTGAGAAAACTGCCACTGACTGGAGATGAAAGCAAATGAGGCTGGTGAGTCCAGATAAGGAAGAAATAAAGTTCCAATTTTATTACATTGCTTTAAGATTAGGCTAGAAGAACTTTTCTCAAGTGCTAAGCCTTTTCAATTTCGCAGAAAACATATCCTGAGGTAAAATTTTACCATGGTCTACTTTGGAGAACTAAAAGTAGTTAGGTCAATCAATACAAGGGATGTCCTCGGTGCCATCAACGTACTCAAAATCTCAGAAGGTACCAATAAATGATTATTCTTATATCATTAATTCCTAGAGGAACATAGGGCTTCAGCTGCACGTCCCAATTGCCTTCGGTTTTCTGCCAACTTTTTCACCCCGATCCAAGTCTGACCACATGCTTTCATCTCCTCTTCACACGACCTCCTCCAAGTCATCCTTGCACTGACGAACAACTCGCCGCTTCCCTTTCGGGTTCAATTGGAGCAATGGCTTGTCTAGTGATGTCACTAGATGGTTTCCTCAGTGTATGACCAATCCATCTCCATTTCTTCCTGCCTATTTGTTTCGCAATCGGTTCCTGCTGGGTTGGTTCGCTCATTGCCAGAGATCCCTGTTGCTGATCTTTTCTGGCCATCTGATCTTGAGCATTGAGCAAAGACAACTGTTGATGAAGGTCTGAAGTTTCTTTGAGATGCTGTTTATGACGCGCAGTGCAAGTCTCTGATTCGTATAATAAGTAGCACTGACTGACTTCACATTGGTGTTGAAAATCCGGATCTTATTTTTGATACTGAATGCTTTTGACCTCCACACAGACTTGAGAGTAATGAAAGCTTATCTTACTTTTCCGATTCTGGCTTTGATATCCTCATCAGCTCCACCTGACTGTAGTTGAAACGATGCTTCCCGGGTAGGTGGGTAGGTGAAGGAGGTTGTTTCCTTCAGGTTCCTCCCATTTGTGCTGGCTGGTTGTTGTCTGTTGTTGTTATTGCTGTTGGTGTTTGCCAGGAATCTTCATCACCTCTGTTTTCTCTACTATGTTCACATGAAGTCCTATCTCCTCTGGATGCTTCTTCTGCCAGCTTGTTGCTTTTCGCTTGCATATCTTCTAGATAGTGTGAATTAGACATATATATCACATCGGCGAAGTCCAGGTCCTCCAAGATTTTTGTGTGAGTCCATTTTATGCCTGTTTCCTCATCGCCCGTTATCTGTCGCGATATCACATCTACTGCAATCAGGAAAATCATTGGCAATAGTAGAAAGTCTTGTCTTACTCCTGTCTTCACTTCGAAGGCTTCCGTAATTTTCCCGTTGTGGATTACTTGGCATGCAGCATTGTCGTACAACCAACTGCTGGATTAGATGTATAATTGTTGGTGGCACCCCGTAGTAGCGAAGTAGTTGCCAAATTACCTCTCGATGGACGCTGCACTGTCGAAAGCCTTTTCAAAGTCGATGAAGTTTAGATAGAGAGGTGACTGCCATTCCAAGCTTTGTTCAATGATGATCCGTAGTGTGGCGATTTGATCAATACATTACTTGTTTCTCCTGAGTCCAGCTTGTTTTAGTCCAAGTTTTTCATTCAGGGCTTGTTTGATTCTTTCCAAGATGATTCGGCTCAGTATTTTACTTGGGATGGACAGGAGCATAATTCCGCGCCAGTTTTTGCATTGACTTAAGTCTCCTTTCTTCGGTTGTTTTAATAAGTATCTTTTCTTCCATTCTTCGGGTACTTTGGCTTCTTTCTACACCTTCTCCATTAATAGCGTCATCAAGTCCGCTGTTGTCTCTAGGTTCATTTTCAATGGGATTCCATCTGGCCCTGCTGCCTTTCCAGCTTTTAGCACCTTGATTGCATTCAGGACTTCTGATTTCGTCGGTGGGTCAGTAATGATAATTCTGAGTAACTGGAAACAACAATCCACACACTAGTGTTTCTCAGTCAGAATGATGTAATCTATAATCACAAAATGTGTGACAAGCACTGTTGTTGCTGCAGGTCATCTTAGGTGATTTTCCCAATTTTGGTCTTAAACCAAGATACGATATTTTCCATAATATCTTTTTTCAATTGCATCAGTTATTTGATGAATACAGTACAACTATTCTGACAACAGAATGTTTTATATTTCTAAAAATATTAAGTAGGCGCCAAAATAACAAGTGCTGGAATACATCAAAGAGAGCACATGTTGATATATACGGTGTGTTAAAAGTGTAGAAGATGCCTAAGTAATTACAGTTAGTAGAAAGAAAGAAAAAACCGAAAGCGAAGAATAAGGAATTCGATCACTCTTTCGAAAATAATATTCATGTGTATTTCGGGCAAAAAAAAATCAAAAGAAAAACAAACAATAAAAATATTTAAAACATATATATATGTATACTCTGATTGATAATATTGTAGGGGAAATTTTATTGCAGTGTGCTAGGATAATTTCGATCAGCATTCATTGAAACTGTTGAATCCTGTTGTTTTGTTCGAAATATCCATGGAAACATTAAAGTTAACTCTCTGTGAAAATTTTCATTCAACCATCCATAAAGAACAGGATTTGCACAGGCTGAAACTAGAACGCATAATAGGCAAAAGGAATGAATTAGTGTAATTTTTCTGCCAATACCATATTCATTGTTCTCTTTTTGTTTTTTATTATGTGGGGGTAATGAAAATGCAGTCATCTGTTGATTCATGATTTCAAATTGTTGATCTGAGTTGTAAGCCTCAGTAATACTCTTATTTATATACTCTGTCTGAGGTAATAAGGTGATATCGAATGGTTCTCTAAGGATTAAAGATTCACGTTTATCCATAACAAGATTAAAAATATGCAAAGGTAACCATGCTAAGACAAATAAAATTGTAATCGAGGCTAGTAATGTATTCGTCCGTGTTTGACGTCGTTGAATAATCTTAAATCGAGAATTTTCAATTTTTGGTAGGGCAATATTATCATAAGATGATGTTGATGTAGACGATATTGGTAGTTTAAAACGTCTTGAAGAGTTAACTGTATGATCTTTGTAATTATTTGTCATTGAATCGTCATGCTTTACTTTACTATTCAACGCCTGACTTACTTTCATATTATTATCTGGTTTCAGTGTATTTCCACTATTACAACAATCTGGTTCAATTTCTACAAAATCTTTTTGATTCGCTGACATTAATTCAGCTGTGATTATAATTGGAGTGCGTTGTCGTACTTCTCTGAATTGTCGTTGGCGTATTCGTTGACATATACGTATGTAGGCATAACTGACCAGTGTTAAAGGTAAACAATACTGGAAAACTATTGTAATTACACCATAGATATATTTACTTTGACGAAGCCATTCACCTTGTATTGTACTAGCACTGCATATATGACCATTCGGTCGAATAGTATCAACACTAACAGATGTGAAGATGAACATTGGACTGGCCATAAAAAGTGCAAACAACCAGCTAGAGATTATAATAAAACTTGCACCAGTATTCTGAACAGTCTTCTTCGTGGGATAAACGATCACCTTGATAATATATATCAACAAAAAGAGAAAAACTATTATCAAATACTGCTTGTAAAGTAGTGAAGAAAATCTGCTATTCTGAAAAACTTTCGTAAACAGACACCTAACAAGTATAAAGTATGAAATGTTCAGTAGACTGCATCTTACAATGGAGAGCCGTGAAACTTGCATCCTATTACACAGTTGTAAGATTCAATAGTCATTTCTAGCAGGGAACCAGTGGGGCAAATACACGAATCTATTGAATAGAAACAAATAAACAAAGTTGGCTGAACATTTCTTGTGTACTTTACTTGTGAATAATAAATATGGGTGATAAGTAATAAATGCACCAAATTCTCACTGCATAGTTCATAAAAAAAACCTCCATCAACACATAAATGAAAGCAAAGTAAGCAGTTCAACAAAGGGTCTCTTTTCAGCGAATTGAAGAGGCAGTACAATCGCACTTGTTTACAGTTTTTTCCTAAAATAGGGTAGCAACAAAAGAGATGCATTATCACAACTCTAGTTGTCAAGATCACTATCCCGTATGGTTACAGGGAGGCAGAAGTGGCTTCATATGGAATGCGACATTCGGGAAGCACATCAACACTGATAATTCCATCTCAACAAATGCCTCCTTCGAAGTCACTTACAAAGTGAACAACAACGTGTCAAAAACAATAAGCTTTCGTTGATTTTGCCAGCAATGCAAAATCAGCAACTTCCAAAAAGTCAAAAATTAGTCAAATCAAAAATTTCAACAACTTATTAGAGGAGAAATCTTCATCTCAGAATAATGAAGTCAACAATCCAAAGTCAACGGCGATCGATAAAACAAAGTGGGTTATCAATCTCTCAACGCATACATTAAGTCCTACAGAAAAAAGTGTATTAGAAAAGGGACTAAATTCCAATGTATCAGTAGACAAGCTGAAACCTGAGGATGGGATCCCTAAAATAGAAATAGCACTAAGTGGGATAGACAAAAAAACGGCTGACGAAGTACGAGCCCTATGTGCACTTACATTAAAACGATAAAAACGTGGAAAGACTAACCTGACAAAACCAGAGATAGAAGCCCTGAAACACCTTAAGAATAATAGGGATATAGTAATCACACAGTCAGACAAAGGAGATGCAACTGCAGTATTAGACAAATCAAATTATTTGGACAAAGTAAATACCCACATACAAAATGGACCACATGAGGAAATTAATAAATCAACAGAAACAATTATGAATAAAGTTGAGAAATCCACAGCGGACCTTATACGCCTAATGAAGCCATTTCCCAGTAAGTCTAAGTGGTTTAATTTAATGCCCAAAACTAATAACCCCGGTTGGATGTACGGTGTTGTTAAAGTTCATAAGTCAGGATACCCTATTAGGCCTATAGTTGATTTTAGAAATTCACCTACTTATGAATTACCTAAATATTTAGCCAAGGTATTAAACCCCCTAAAAAGCCACTCGAAATCTAGACTAACTAATTCTTATGAACTAAAACACAGATTAGATAATTTAAAATTAGATAATGAAGAAAAAGTTGGTTAGTTTTGACATTCTCAGTTTATATACACGTGTGCCAATAAATATGGCTATAGAGGCAGTCAGAAACGAACTCATTTCTGACCAAGAACTCGAACTGAGAACAAAAGTGCCACTTGAGGACATAATGCTGGAGTACATCTTTTCATGACTTTCACAGTATTTAAAGTGCAAGGTAAAATATACAAACAAACTGAGGGAGTTGCCATGGGATCACCAATATCTCCGGTTGTAGCAAATACGCTTTCGTCTCCTTTGTAATCCTGAGGATTCAGTCATTCACTTGGGAAACCAGAGGTATGCACACAAAACAAAACTATCCAGCTATGACAACTGTATTGATTTCTATTGACTTGATGTTTGTTTGCTTATTTTTCCAACTCCTTATAACGCTTGTATTTCTTTCGAACTGTCATGTAAATCCATATTTTCCTTCTTTTCTATGTACATCATGATTACAACTAATTCATCAAATTATTCATTCCATTACGTAACTCTAGTACACTTATACAACTGCTTTTATGCACTGACTAATACTGATAACTATGTGACAACTAATAACGATTGCTATTAACTTCTTTCATGAAACAATGGCCAATAAATGCGACTGTAGAGCTAAGTGAATGAATTCCCTGAAAGAGCCTGTTCCCTGAACTATTTGTTTTGTTTCTAATACAGAGTTGCAGAAAAAATATACAAGATGTTCAAATCAAGCACACTATTCCTAGATATAATTACATACCCGTATATTTTTTTAATGAGGGCATAATTTAGTTTCGTTCTGCATCGAATTCAGGAGGAATGTGATTCACATGAAGCTTAAACTATACTTCATTGCACATTTGTGATGAATATTATAGCTATTAACTGCCCCACATTTGGCATATATTAATCGGATCTAAAATTCGATAATTGATGTCACTACTATCGATCGTTTATCCAAACTTTCACCTTATTTTTACTTTTTAGTGAAAAATATGTGTGTGTGCCTTAGGAGTGGTTCAGTATTACTGATCCGAATGATTATTATAGTTGCTTCTAATATCATTAACGGGGTAATTTTACAATAAACGATTCGAATAACGCTATCTGTTACTTTCCTATTTTTTTTCTTATGGGAGTCTTTTTTCTTTTGTGATTTTTAATATTTAATTATTGAGTTGTACTTTACTGTTGTTCTCACATATGATGAAATTAGACTGATGAAACTCAGTAGCAAACCATTTCTACAAAATGAAGAAAAACTGATTTCATCCATAGTAATCGCAGTCATTTCATATAGTACAAAACACCAAAGCTTCATGTTGATTGCCTATTCACGATATCCACTAGAGAAACACAGAGCCGCCTAACTTAAATCAAGGGGTAAATTTCAGATCTAGTTATTAACTGACTGGTTTTAACATAGAACTTTGCAACGATGTGCGGCAGTTCGAGTCACCACACTTTACTCAGCACACAAAACCAGAGAAGAAAGTAAAAAGAAACGCGAAATAGAGACAGTAAAAAGAGATATGAGGCAAAAAGAATAGCAATATGGAAGAAAAATATAGTTTTATTGGGTATTATAAGTCACAAGGAGTGGATGCATCTGCGTTAGCCTTTGAGAACGATTTTGAGCCACATCAACCGGTGTCTTCAGCCATTGTTTTTTACCGTTCCGAGGACTACAACCAGGAAATCTATATCTTCCTAACTGGCTTAAACTAATTGTTGGGGATTTCATTGACTGACGCCATGTTTCGGTTTGACCACCACTGGTTCTTTTCCAACTTTATCCATCCAACGTCAGTGAACATTGCCTGTCAAAAAAGGCGATCGATGGCTAGGCGTGCGTAGCTAATGATCTAACTATCTTAGTCGACGTAACTTCACAGCCTCGTTGATTGATTTCCCCTTCTTGCCTAGCACTCGACGCCTAACCTCAAAATTGCTCACCCTATTATACTGCTTCACACCGGAGATAGAACGCAGACACCTATGATCGAAAACAACTAGTCTTTTCATGTCTTCCGCTCTCAATGGCCTAGTCTCAAAGGTATGAAGGAGGGCGGAGTGGACTGCTGAGCAATACATCCACCCGTTGGTCGATAGCCAGATATCACGTAGATATATATATATATAGCCAGAGACAACGTAAACTGGCATATTCGATCTAGTTAATACGTTTCGTCTAAAGCACTTCGACACAAATACTTAGGTTAATTCTAGTAAGTCAGTCAAGTTACGCACAAATCTACCTTCAATTGACTTTGTACTGGCTTGTTAGAGCTGATTCTCTTCTCCAAAGGGAATCCACTGAAAAACAGTAATGAAGACGTCCGTTTCGAATAAGACAGACAGCCATCCAGTGTTTAAACAACTACAATGTGGTTCACAATCATGTCAGTCATTAGTGTTTTGCTTAAAGTTTTAACGCTAACAATAACATCATCGCCAATAGTATCAAGCGAATCATGCAGTATCGCTTGAATGATGTTGACATTTTACGAAAGCGTGGGTAAAATTTGATTAAATCTTTTCTAATTTGAAAATAATGATACATTTTACACAGTGCATGTGTACTGCCTTATTTTGAATAGCTTTTTAAAATTATAACAAGTATGGCGTTGTTTAAACGATTCCGATACAGATTTTGCTGTACATTTATTTATATAGACATACATATCGATGATGAACATTGACTCTGACTTATTCTTAAAAAGAAGGAGGTATCATAAATTAAATCAATGAATAATGCAAAGTATTCATCTCTTAATAAATGACTTCACATGTTTACCTACTAAATTATTGAAGATATGCCTATTGTTTCATGAATAAGCTGTCCATTAGATGAAAATCCTCTTAAAGGTCTGCGATAAAATTAGGAATGAAAATGAACTAAAACTTTATTTTTTCAGAGATTCACCTTAGAAAGCTTAACAATTTTGGTTTAACACCTGCAGTCTGATAATATTAACCTAATAGGAACTTGCTATAAAATATACATCACACACAGAAAAATATTGTTTTAGAACATTCAGTATGTGCGCTAGAATTATTTATGGAGATAGGAGAAAGAGGGGAATTAATTTCTGTTATTTTTTGTATTCATAAATATTTTCTTACTTAGGTTTATGAACAGAAAAAAAGGTATTATCCAGGGATTATATTACCCTTGTAAATATAGGGTAGAATATGAAGGTGTGAACTTTGCACGTCTTTAAATTAATTATTATACTTACTCAGTTATTATGTATACCTCTGTGTTATGGGTTAAATATTTCAGTTTATATGTATATGCATATATATGTGATTAAATCGTTTTGTTTAATCAATCTCTTTGTAAGCTAAATAATGGAGTATGAGTAAGTGTATATTGGCTACAAATCTCCTGAGTAGTAGTTCAGTACTCAGGAGTCTTATGCAACACAGAAACAGCATACATCAATGTCAATGTTTGTTAGTATGGTATGTGCTTTACACCG